GTAAGAGAGACTTATAGATTTCAAACAGTCGATGTATTAATTGTGTCGAGTTAGATAACAAAAAGGGTTTTGTGATAGCAACTGAAAAATGGTGTAATGTTGCCCTTGTGAGACGTTTCAAATATTTTGTAATAGAATGACCAGAATGAGACTAAGTAATTTTGTGTTTCTCAAAGTTTTTGCATAAGGTTTATGTAGGTAACATCCTTTAGAAGTTTGAAAAGTTCTAAGTTGTATATCAGGTTGCGAGAACTTCTTCCCTGAGAATCAGACTTGATAAGAGATTAGGTACGTCAATAGGCTTCTAAGTGGTTACCTAAGGTTACGTCGGTATTCTATCCAAGTAAATTTTGAAGATGAAATTTATTTTAAGGAGATGAGAGTTATAACACCCAAAATTATGGGTTAGTAGTTTCAGGTATACCTGAAAGGTATGTGGACCTTGAAGAGTTCGTAATTAAATTTATTGGGCCAAGTGTGGGCTTGATTGGATTTGAATTAACCCCTAAAGGTTATAAAAATAAGGTTTTTACATTTAAGGTTTGGGCGTGACTTTTGGGAGATAAAAGCTAAAGGCTTTGTCTCTTCTTCTCATCTTTTTTTTTCTCCATTTTTCTTCTTCCATCTTCTTTCTCAAGCTCGATGGATCAAAAATGGTGGTGATAAGGACTTCTTTCATGTTTCATCTATCTTTAAATTAGTCTTTAATACTTTTAGCAAAATCGTTTAAAGATCTAGAGCCTTGTTTTTGTTTTTGGCTAGAGAAAGTGGGTATAGAGTACTCAAAGGCAAATGGAGAAGAGAAAACAAGTGTACATAAATAAAGGAGCATTATTTTAAATTCCTAAGCTAAGGTAGTGTATTTGTAATTCTTTGTTATGTTATGAACTTCCTAAACATGATACTTTGTTGGGGATTTGAGTTTTGAGCATATTTGGGGGTTTTGCTTGATTCATGCTTAGATATTTTTTTTGTTGTAAAGACAGTGTTTTTATAGTGCTAAATGACCCTAAATAATTCACCTTAGCTTTAGAAGTTGATTTGGGATCAAACCAGAGTGATTAGGAGGATTCTTGAGTGTTTTCTGAGCTTATTTATGGGTTTTTCTAGGTTAAGGTATCGATAATGGATGAACAATATCGATATTAGATGATCTGGTTCAATTTTTGGGCATTTTATTAGGGGAGTATCGGTACTCTAGAGAGGAGTATCGATACTCTAGAGATGAGTATCGATACTATAACCCTAATATTGATACCGAGGGTAATAATATTGATACTAGGGGTAAATTTTGAAATCCATTAGCCATTTTTTTAGTGCTAATACTCAAAAGGGCATTGATACTTGACTTAGGAGTATCAATACTGCTTGTAGGGTATCTATACTACTCATTTCAGATTATTTGATTCAACTTTGTTAATGCCCGTAAGAGTTAAGGATGACCCAAAATGGTGGGACTTAGTCCGTGAGGGACTTAAATGGAAAAAATGTTCCTAGAAACACTCTTAGGAGTGGGTTACAATCGAATAAATCATACTAGATGAAATATTTTCGAGTATTTTCAAATGAACATGTATTGAGTAATCGTAAACGAAGGATCATTCCGAAAGATATTACAGTGAATGAGACGATGAACAACGTGACTAGCATGGGAGAAGAGCGTAAGTACTACGTGAACGCATATAATCAAAGATGTGTAAGTTGCCCTACCAGTTCAAGGGTGAACTGATAAGAAATGCGATGAGAACAACTAGAGAGTCGTTTTCAATGAACTATACCTGAATTGAGTGTTGGGCAAAAAACACTAGGATACTATTAAGCTCTTCCATAACATTCTAGGATAGAGAACGAACAAAGTAGTTTTAAGTAAGGGAGCGATCTCACGTACTTGTGTTGTAATTGATAATAGTAACAATGATATATGTGTGATAACCATAAAAACCTTATAAGGTAAGATTCCATAAGACTTATACATTTGTCTATCGCTCGGGAAACGATGAGGACACCCAAAGTTACTTATGTGTGTGAGTAACCATCGTCTAATCATTTGAGAAATATCACTTGAGAAATATTTGGATATATCTAACTTAGTGCGAGAGCACTTTAAGCGCTAGTTGAACATTGTACTAATACTATGTGATCTAGACACGTTTCGAGTACTCTAGAGGAATAGACTAGTAGAACATATGATCCGATGTTATGTGACCTCGGAGGCATCCTAGGTACTAGTAATGAGGGCCCTTTCTAGTTGAACATTCTGATGCTAAGTGACACGTGTCTTATCTAGGGTACCTTTGGTAGGATAGAGGGGTGTGAGTCCCGAGATGCTAAGTGACCATTCGACTACACCATGATAACTGCTCTTGTTTATGTGATTATTCCTGGTGTCTTTGTGATACCAGATTCTATAATTGTGTGTTTCATGATAATGCATTATAGGATGATACTAAGGGAAGCGTGATACTTACACTAAAAAGGTATAATTGTTGAACCTTAAGTATGTAGCACTTGGTTAGGATCATTCATTTGCTTGTTGTTTATTACCATGTCTTCTAGAATGCTTATGTTTATGAGATTCACATGATGGTCTAGATTAGCGATTATACTATAGGGATTTGTAAGCTCAGCGTTCGAATGTTTCCATTCGCAGGTTAGTATATCATGTCGTTCGAGGAGCACCGTCGCAGCAGGATTTCCAGCTTTCCTCTCAGAGTATTGGTTGGTTACTTATATTGGCATATATATTCATAGAAACCTTACATATGTATTATGATTTGTAAACTTTGAGTTGCATTAATTTTTTTAAACGGTGTCATAGAGCTCTGATTTATAAAAATGATTTTATTATTATTTGAACTATTAGTTTTTAAATGATGACTATAAGTATTAATTTTTAAAAAATGGTTAGCCACTTCGGTGGTTTTGTGTGACATTCAAATCCTCCAGTCTTTAGGTCGGATCGAATTAGGGTGTTACAGAATTTGAGATAAAATTTAACAAATCTCTACCTTGACACGAATTCTGAAGGTACAAATGGTTCGAGACAAAACACCCAAATTGGATGAGGCACTCAGACTCAACAAAATCAATTCTTCACTTCAACGAATAAGTTCTTCACCTTGAGAACATATTCTTCACTTCTTCCATGAAAACCCTTAGAAGGATATTCTTCAACAATGATTTCTAATTGAATCCAAAACTTGGGTCTTCACATCGATAAGGAAATCATAAGTGCTAATTTCGCTCACAACTTGTTCACTACAAGCAATATCATGCACAACATCATCTCGATCATCAATGACAATTCTTTCTTTTCCATTATACTCACTAAACTAAATTTTCTTCTTCTCGAATCTATTGTGCCCACATAACTGAACCTTCTCAAATTCGTTATGCCCACGAAATAGAACATTTTTTTCTCCCAAAATTATTATGCCAGGTTGTTTTGTCCAACACAAAGTCCACCTTTACCATGAAGTAAAAAATAATAGTTCATCTTCTATAATTCTTAAACCCTTCAGAATATAAAATATGACAATCTTTCTTTGCCCTTTCATCAGAATAAGAGAACTCTTGCAAATTTACGAACATCTACATTCCACAATTTGAATATGGTGTTGCGATCCAACAATGACTTCTCATGCTTTGAAGATGTCTTTATCGTGATCGAATCAAACAATACAAATGTTTTGATACCAATTTGTTGTAAGATAAAGACATGTATAATGATCGCCGAATAAAATAGACACTAAGATTTTATGTGGAAAATCCTTTTTAGAAAAGTTACGAGAAGTGGAGGCAAAAATTCACTAATGTCAAGATAAAAAGAATATAAGAGGAGTCCTCATGAACAACCTAATCTCTAACATTAATATTTAGTATCTATTTATAGGGATAAATACTTAATTACAAATAAAACTAAATAGAGTAAAAAGCTACTTTAATAAAGTTTTTATTTTAATAAATTTTTTTATTTTTAATCAAACTAAATTTATTATTTTTTTAATTAAAATGTGTCATTTTAAATTCGAGTTAAATTTTATCAAAATTAAATTATAAATACCGCAACCTTAAATATGTAAGGAGACAATTTTGTTGTTCGTGTGATACTATATTGTTTGACGAAATGTGGATACTAGTGGTTGACATCAAATATATTATAAAATATAGTATAATATATAATATATGAATAATAAAATAATTGTTAAAATTATTAAATTTGAGTTTCAACATGATTTATTTTAAACTGAATTATGATTGAATCTATGAATCAAACCATAATTATTTTAGTTGTTCAACTCGTTAAAAAGTTGAAAAGAAAAGCCAACCAATTGGTGTAGGTCAAATACACATCCAAATAGTATGAAATTTCTTTGTGGCTTTAAAATAACATCTTACTTTTTCTCTCACCTTGAACAAATTATAATTGTTTTAATGAAATATACGCAATTGAAGAAATACTAAATATACAAGCAAGTGGACTAATCTTAGGGTTCATCTTCCCTCTTTATTAGACAAAAGTAGCTTAAGAAATATTATTTGTCAAACATTATGTTTGAAAGACACCTAAAATTAGGACACAATGTTTACAATTAATATGATAACCCATGCCGAAAAGCAGGTGTAATTGTCCCCCACACAATCCCTAAACAAACTAAATTATTAAGGTTAACATCCCCTAGGGAGATTCCTTAGAATTTGAAACCTAAAATTTTCTTTAAAATCTATTGTCAAATTTAATAATTAGACATTTCATTTTACACCCAAAATCATTAAAATTCAAGGAGATAATGTAATTAGCATAACACATGGAGACCCATCTAAAAAAATCCCATCCTAGCCATCATTTTCTCTAAAAATTTAGATCTAAACTTGCGCATGTTGTTCGAATTTAAATCATAAAGGAAGACCAAAATTATCTTAGGAACTGTTTGTTTGATACTTAATAAAATTATTTAGCACGTTTGTTTCGCACCTCTGAATTATTCAATGCTGACTGATTCAACAAAAAAATGTTGAATAATTCAACACAGAAATACATTCTGAATCATTCAGAGTCAGTTATCAAACAACATCTTAATCACTAAAAGAATATTTTAAATTAAATATTTGTACATATACTGAAAATCGAAAATTACGATCGAGGACGACGAGCTTCGCATGGTCCGTGTGCCAAAGGATTCATTGGGATGGGCTTATTGTAGATTTTAGCCTGATATTAGGATCGAGGATCACGGTGGGTGATTCGTTGGCTGGGACCGACATCCTCGCGCATGATGCGCACATGGTGAGGGTAGTTGGTGGAGCCATTTGCATGTACAAATGCGGGGAAAGTTTCAGTGCTCTCAGCTCCACAACTTCTTTCTGCAACCGCCTGTTTTTCTCCATCAGATTCTCACAGCATCTCTTCAGGAACTCACAGTCAACCTCGGTTTGCTTTAGTTTAGTCCTGTTCGGGAAAGTGATTCCCCCAGTCCCACGTTTAGTAAATAATTTCAAACCAAAAGGACATAACATTCAATCAAAAAAAAAAAAAAACAGAAGCGGTCGGAAAATCTCTCTTACCTTGCCCTTCTGTTTTGGAACCACACTTCGACTTGTCGGGGTCGCATACCCAGCTGCTTGGCCAAAGCCAACTTTTGCTTCTGCAAAAACAAAATAATTTTTTCTGTTTGGTTAGCAAGAAAATTTCTTCTTATACGAGTCAAACTCAACGATTCAGTTCGAATAACTCACCGGGTTGAGAGTGTTGTGTTCCTTAAAGCTTTCTTCGAGAATAGCTGACTGGTCTTTTGAAAGGCGAAGCTTTTTTCTTGAAGTGTCGCCATCTTCATCATCACTGATGCCTCCATTCGATTGTCTTTCGCTTCTTTTTCTGCTCACACTAGATATCGTGCTGTTCGGAGATGAAACTCCGGTTTCTTCTTCACCGTCGGCCGTTGATGGAAGCCGGTTCACGTCGATTCCTCTAAGAAACGCTCTAGCCTCGGTGTCCCGGAAATATCCAGAGTTAAGATCTGCATGCAAAGACACCATGCTTTTTTTCAGATGAAAAGAGAAAAATGAAAAGTAGCAGATATAGAGGATTTTGCATGTGAACATGGGGAAAACTGCATACCTGGAGGAGGAGAGACGACATCGTTCCATGAGTGTTTTTGAAGGGGAAAACCAGAAGGAGAAGAGGAAGGGGTTAGATTTAGGTGATGATTGTGAGGGAAACTCAAACTCAGACTCAAACCGAGATCTTCTTTTCCCATCATCCTTAATATTTTCTCTTGAGCCGAACACGGCTTTTGATTTTGTGATGTGAACAAATATGAGAGAGAGAGAGAGAGACTTTGGGCTGGGGAGTTTAAAGAGAGGAATTAAGTGATGATGGCACGCAAGATAGGGAGTGGTGGACGGTGGATTATATAATAGTAAATGATAATGAAAATTAATGAAAAAAAAATAAAATTGAAAGTTCAATGATGAGTTGTTGTGAGGCCAATTATCTCAATCATAGCCCTACCTTCTGCTTCTTTGTCTTACCATCATCCAATCAATTTTATTTCCTTATTAATAATGCCGATTTCATGGTTTTAGATGACTATTTAATTATTATTATTTTCTTATTTTGATTCTTGATTTTAAAATTTTATCAATTAACAATGGTTAATCATTAATATTTTACAAAAATATTAACATAACATTTAATAAAACTAACATAATCATATATTTGATCATCATTATTCATATATTATATCAATTTAATCTTAATTTTAAGCATATTATTGTGACATAAATTCAAAATCTATATCAATAATTATATACATAATGACACTTTAATATAAAAGTAATGTTTTAAAAGATATATTAACATAATATTGAATCTATCGAGTAACTTCATTGGTTAAGGAAAATATTACTTTTTTTAAAGATTCTTCGAATAATTGTATTTATAAGGTGTGTACGTTAATAATTAAGAAAAATTATAAATAAATATTATATTCTAATTACCATAGACTATTAAAAAATAAATTAAACTTTAATTCAGTTTTTATATAGATATTCTAGAAAAGTTTAATAACTAGGGAAAGAAAAGAAACAAATGAAAGTTGATTGAAGAACTAATTGAACCATGAATGGTAGGCAAATGAGTTGGGTGATTGGGCGAGTGATTTTAGCCAATACGTGATGGAGAAAGAAAGAGGGGGAGTGCAGTTCACGTGAGAAAACATCTATCCAAACTTAACTCACGTGGACCAACATGCGTTGCCCTTGGAGCACGTGCTTTGCGGGTCCCCACCTCCTTCCATTCCCTTCTTACCCATACGATCGTGCGTGTCACATATGTCCCTCAACGTCCCGACAACTCTTCCCCTCGCAATCATTTGAATCTTTGAAAACCCCCTTCCTCGCAACCTTAACGCTCCTTCCTCTCTGATTTTATCCCCACGCGCCGTCACTCAGGCTTGAGATTCTTGGTTCCCCTTCGACCGTTAAACTCGATTATCTCAATCAGTACGAACCAATCGATTTGGAAGATAAATAATTTTTTTTTATTTTTTGAGGTTTTAGATTCGAACATTATGAATGTTAGAAGTTTAATAATTTAATATTAAATGATTAAGAGTTATTTTGAAAAGATATGAACTTATATTTATCTCTCATTATAACATGTTTAACGGAAAAATAAATAAATAAATAAATATATATATACCACTTAAAAAGATAAATTTTAAACCCAAATAATATAAACTTGAAATCTCTAGAACATAAAAATAACCAACCCGACAAATTTTAAAAAGCAAAGTTGAGACAAATCAAGATAGACCAAACACTAAAGTCATTTTTTGCGTTGTATAAATGAGTTAATATTATAGGGTTGTGGTTTTTAAAGTAGCTTGCTGTAATCATTGGCAGTGGTAACACTAATAATTCCCTTTTCATTTTTTTTTACTTAAAATCTCTTTCAACATCTTTATCATCGTTCACATGTTGAATTGAAAATAAAATTTTGATAACTGAATTTAAGTTCAATGTATATAATGCTTAGAGTTTTTATTTAATTTATTGATTTAAATTTATATTAAATTTGATTTTTACTCAATATTTATTATAAATAATTTATTTGATCAGTTTAAACTATAAAATTAAATTTAAAAATCAATTTAGATATCTAATGAAATTCATCAACTTAATTAAAACAAAAATATAGATACTAAATTAACTTTAAATTGATTGAATTTAAAAAAATATTAAACTGGTATATCTTAAAAATATTAAAATATATATTTATTGAGATTAAATAAGTATTAATTACTCCATTGAATCTTTAAAAATCAATATTTTTTTATAAATAATTTATTTTATTGAAATTATAGCTCCTTTCATGGACATAACTCCAACTGTCCACCATAAATACTGCCCAACCGTCCGTCCGCCTTCCCCTCCCCTCTCCTACAAATACCCCCTTTCAACACTTACACCACAAATGAAAATATTATAGTTTTTCCTTTTATCTATCATTATATCAAGTTTTAAGAATATATAGTTACCATTTTTAAAAGTTAAATTTTTTTATTATATTATAATAATTTAATAGTTTATTATTTTATTATATTTTATTGTGCTAGTTCTTTTATTACTTTTTGCAGTTATAAAATAGAGGGTGAGTTGCTGCGTTTATATGAGAATCATATCTCAGGTCATTTTGTCGATATGATAATAATTTTAAATTATGTTATTTTATTTATTATGAATGTTTTATTTAGTTATTTTTTTAGTATTAGTTTATATTTTAATTTGCATACTATTTTATTTAATTAGGTGAATGATCGTATATTAGATCCATTTATTCGTAACGTTAAGTTAGAGATATCGAGTTGTGTCTGCCATATTTAGTCGCAACTAGATTCGCTGACATAGCAAAATATGAAGGGCATTGAAACCTTGAACCCAACCTTATTTCTCCACTGATTGAGAAATGGAGACCAGAGACATACATTTCATCTTCCATGTGGGGAGTGAACTATTACGTTGGAGGATGTTTCCATACATTTCGGGATTCCGGTAGATGGAGATGTTATTTCTGATGGCGGATGGTGATTGACATTCCTTGTGCAAGGAGTATATTGGAGGTATCCCGCCTAATTTCAATGGTGGTCGAATATAGTTATCATGGTTGGCTATAAATTTTTTATAGTTGAGCGAAGACTGTTCCGAGGAATAGGCTAAAATATTTGCTCGGGCTTGCATATTACAACTCATAGGAGGGATCTTGATGCATGATAAATCTACCAACCAAGTTCATTGTATGTGGTTGAATCACCTCGTAAATTTTCAAGTTATCGGTTCATTCAGTTGGGGCTCCGCGATTTTGGCATCTCTGTATAGAGAAATATGCCGGGAAATTGATTATTGAAAAAATGCCATCGGAAGATATCTTCTTCTTCTGCAGTCTTGGGTGTGGTATCGCATGCCCTTTTTATGTCTGGTTATGAAAAACCCGTTAGTCTTCTCGTTATTGTTGAGATAATTTCAATATTGAGTTCGTATATAAATAAATTTTAAGTATATAATGAATTTTTTACACTAAATAGGCGGTCATGTATAAGGAAAAATCATCGTGATATACCATATGAATTGGAAGAAATTCGGCTACTCATTGATCAAAAGGTTGGTACAGAGGTATGTATTTAAATTTTATTATTTACCTTTAATTATCGTTATATAACTAGAATATAATTTTGATAAGAATTATATATATATATTTTAGTTTCAATGGGCTCCTTATTGTACTGAAGAATTGAGACATTGAATCCCACCTTACTTGAGTGGCCCATTAGATGTCGCGACAATCCCTTTGATATGTCATGCTATTGTCGAGTGGCATCCTACTACTGATTGCATGCTCCACCAATTTGGTTCCGTGTAATCTATTCCTGAAGCACCTAAGAATCTCGACAATATGTATAACGTCGATAGAAGGGGCAAAAAAGATGTCAACTAGCTGATAAAGCGCATCGAGTGAGTATTGATCAAGGAGGATCGACGTGAACACATTTCCCATACGGAGCTGATTTATGTTGATCATTATTCAGTTACGGATGACTATTATCAATGGTTCAACACAAACGGGAAGTCATTTCTACTTACCAAGGAAGTATGAGGCGAGAGAATTCATCGGCGTCGAGAAAAGCGTCTATTTTTATATCATCATCGTCCCCCAACTCATGGAAGGAGAGCAGGCGCTTCCCGGTCGTCCTCAACTACAGCACTGAAACCATCACAACAGCCACCGTCTATATCGATTTATATTCTACAATCATTTTAGATGCCACCACAACCATTTTAAATGACATCACAACCATTTTCGATTCCATCGTAACCATTTCAGATACCACCACTATAGGGTTTTATGAAACGTCCTGACGAATATACTCTCATGCTTATAGATCCAGCGTGGTCTTCATATATTGCTTAGTTAGCGGGTGATGCTTCACTAGAGACACAGAAACCTCCGGCTCAATTTTTGCATTTATCGATGTCAATGTTTTTTACATTTTCATAGTTTTCTATGAGCGGTGGGATGGTTGGTCATACACCTCCATGGTCCTAATTTTATGAAGGTGCTACATCGTCATCCATCCCTCATTAAAAAATATAGATTCTACTACTGCTGCTGCTGCTGATGATGATGATAGTGAGAAAGAAGAGCAACTTATGCAAAGAAATCCTCATCGAAATAGACATCCACCGCCCTATGGAACATATTCAAGGTGCAAATATCGATAGACTTGTTTTTATTTATTTTGTTTCTTAATTTTTTATTTAATTATGGACTTCTTATTTATTTTGTTTCTTAATGCTTTTATTATTTAATTGTTTGAATTATAACATTTGTATTTAATGTTTTTATTTAATTGTTTTTATTATTTAGTTTGTAATGTTTTTATTTAATTTTCACTTTAGTATCTCTTTACTTGAGTAGCACATTAATTAAAAGTAAACGAAAATAAAATAACACAAACTGAGGCTTCATAAACAATAATTATATCGTTACAACATCAACAGTTACATGATGATAAAAGAGATGAAATTTTTTTCCTATTGTGGCCTAGTTTTCTACAATGCACATATCTTTTGTTTTCTTTAAACGTCTCTCAAATATCCATATCATAATTTTGTACGACCTGTCTCCGTTAATAAGGATGGATCTGGTACAATCGGAAGCCAATTTTGAACCTCATCTAGGTATTTCTCATTACCTATAGGGGAACTCAAATTCATAAACCTTAAATACTTCTAAAAGTCGGTATACGGGATCCACAAAATAGTTATAGTCTTGACGGGTATAAGAGCAAGCTGCTATGACATGGGAGCTGGAT